TAATCAGATTTTCATAAAGTTGAGCCAGAAAATGAGGTTGCTTCTGTCTCCATTTTTAACCGGTTTGCTCTTGATTTTTTTTAATTGCATCTCTGACTCCCAGCTCTGGTGATCACACGCTGGGGTCACAACATTGCCTCCTCAAGGGAGAGCAGAGCTGCAGGGAGGACAGCTGAGGAGCTCCATGCTCTGGCAGAGCCCTTGCTCTGATATTTCTGTGACACGTTTCCATGTTGGAATGGGGAGAGCAGGGAATAGGAGCTCTTTCCTGCTGGTGCTGATTTTCCTGGTATGACTTTGGCAATGCCCTGTGAATATCTCTGAGGGAAACTGGTGTCAGAGCAGAAAGGGAGAGCGGGCAGAGCTTGTGATGCCCTTTCACTGAGCAAGGGGTTCCTGCAGCCCTGCACCATGAAATGCAGCTTCTCAGGGCAGTGATGCTCAGTAAAGCCATGAAACGCAAGTAGTAAACGACAAAAAAATGAAAGTTTCTAAGTCAACAGAGAGGGGGAATTGCTGAGATTCATAAAGTTAGAGAGTTTTAAGACAATAGTTAAAAAAGACATGCTTTTGAGAGAAATTTTGTGAACATTGCTAATATAGCGGAAAGTTTTCTCAACAGTAGAGCAGACGTGACAAATAGCACAATAGACTTCTGTAAAACTAGCCTTATAGATTGCAACAAGGTTATTTAATATATATCTTTAGAAAGTTAGTATGAATAGATCTCTGTGCTTTGTCTCTCATGAACGAGCCATTGTATTAGCTACCATTATGTGTGTTTCATATGATTAGATAGAATTCTTGTCAATATGTTTTGCTCTATGTGTGATTGGCTGAAATCTAAACTGAGATAGTTTTATGCTATGCTGTAATGTAACACCCCCTTAGCGTTTCCTTTAGATCAGAGAGCTGTTAACATCCTGTCTCCATTGTCCTAACAATGTACTAAGAATGATGTGCTGAATAAATAGCTCACGACACTGGTTCAGAGTGCCCCGTCTCCGTTCGTAATTGTATATACCGACCAGCAGAACCCTCTCACTAAGCAATGCAGGCACAGCATTGTTGGGGGTTCCTGCAGCCCTGCACCATGCAATGGAGCTGCTCTGGGCAGTGATGAGCACCTCTGTGATGCTCTCTCGGGCACAGCATTGCTGGAGGTTTCCTGCAGCCCTGCACCATGCAGCTGCAGCAATGCAGTTGCTCTGGACAGAAATGAGCATCTCTGTGATGCCCTCTCACTGAGCAAGGCAGGCACAGCATTGCTGGAGGGTTCCTGCAGCCCTGCATCATGCAATGCAGCTGCTCTGGCCAGAAATGAGCATCTCTGTGATGCTCTCTCAGGCACAGCATTGTTGGGGGTTCCTGCAGCCCTGCACCATGCAATGGAGCTGCTCTGGGCTCAGCAGCTGCAGCAGAATGAGCTCTGTGCCCTGGGAGAGCTCTGAGTCCAAAGCACAAGGCTTCACTGCGCTGGTCAGAAGCTGCTGCTGTGACCTGACTGTGTGGAGAACTCATTTGTTGGTTGCCCACTAGAAATGCTTCAGGTTTTCCGGTTTGCTTCAGTCCTACTCTTTGGAACTGAGATAACAGATAAGAAGTGTGAGGTGCTGCTTTTCTGGTATCCAAGGCACAACTCCTACCTCCTTCAACAGAGCTCACTAAGTTCTCTCTCTTCCCTGTCCTTCTATTTTTCCACTTGTTTTTCTTGGGTTTCTCCCCTGCTTTCTGCTGTTGGATTTTTCCAATGCAGGCAGAAAAGGGCTGGTAGTGTGTATTTTCTCAGGGTATTTATTAGGTGCAACAATGATGAATAAAATGGTAATGAGAGACAACTATGTAATAAATTATATTACACTTTTGACCAGCTGTTTAGCTACATGAGATTTTGGTTGGACAGATAAAAGGGATATGCTACAGGAGCAGAGGGTGGAGGTGGGAGAAGAAACTAACATTTTTTTTTCAAACATTATTCTTGACCTCCTGATTTATGGAAAGGCAAATCAATAGAATAAATTTGTCACTAGGTCTACAAATGTCCTGAAAGGCAATCATGTCTAAGGAGGATTAGGAGGAAGAATTTAAAGATGTATCTTGTAAATGCTGAGGCCAAAAGTCCACCTGTATGCCATGTGCTGGTGCTCAGTACTTGATATATGGGGGCCAAATTTTCTTTACAGATTTTACCCATTTAAACGCAAGAATGTTTAGCTTTTCTGGGATGAATTGTCACATCTGTGCACTCGGGTGGCTGGTTGTGATAGCTGTCCAGTGCAGGAGAGCTGTGTGGTGCCCTGCAGCAGGCAGGCAGCACTGCAGGGGCACAGCTGCTGTGATGGGACATCCTGTGAGCTCCCAACACCCTCCTGCTTTCCACTGAGTGCATCCCTGGCAGCAGCTTGTGTGGATAACTGACCTGCATCCTCCTGTTTGTTTCCATCCTCACTCCTCAAACCCTGCAGAATTCAAATGATGAACAAACCCGCCTGGCAAACTTGGCAGATTCTCACTTTATTCATGAAGGCAGATCTAATGTTCCCTGACAAATTGTTCCAGAGAAACTGTCTTGTAAAATACAGGATCTGCCAGTTCCTTCATACCAAACCATATTTCTATTAGGACACAGTGTTAATGGTTCACTGGAAAGTACAATGCTTGGTGCAGAGTGAATCTGAAATCATTTAGCATACTTGATTGTTAACTGAGCTAACTATCCTGTGAGTGCACTGGCTGCCATCTGTCCATTGCCTTGGCAGCCTTGGAGGGGGGATAATCTGGGAGCTGGCACGGCTCCAGTTTGCCGCAGGTCTGCTTTCGAGTGTTTTTGTAGCAGATGTTGTGCCACATGCCCAAAGCTGCTGCCTGGAAGCTGCTGTGTGCTCAAATTTTTAATTTTGGGGGGGGTGTCTGACTGTCTTTGACACAAGATTTGCATTTGTCTTAGCAGCTCCTTATGGATTGCCTTTGTTATAAATGATAATATGATGAAAGAGCCAGAGCCAAAACCTCGAGGCCTCTGTCACAGTATTTTTGGTGGTTCCAGTGGACACTGGATTGGACCCTGACTTGCCAGTTGCTGATGTGTTTTTTTATCCTTTTAATGATGTGTATTTGAAAGTGTGGCACTTAAAAAACATTTACTATGGAACTAGGGAGCCCTCAATTTGCACTGTGCTTTTAAGGAATTCAATAATCCTTGCTCATCTAAGATGCTCCAAAACTGTTTATATACATAGATCCTTGCATGTTGTGCACAGGGAAACTACAAGTTCCAACAAATTTTTCCTCCTCTGTTATCTTCCATGGATAACATTATTCCTCTGAAAGCCAGTTGATCCCAAATTAATGTAAATCAGCCAAGGTAAGGTGAAGCTTTAGGAACTGCTGCATTTTTCAATCCTGTGATTAAAATGCTTTGCTCTTCTTGTGCAGCTTGGTGCTTGTCAGCAGAGTAGCAGGAGGGAATTATCATCTTGCTGCAGCAACCCCTGCTGCTGCTGATAGGGAAGATTTCTTCTTCTTCTCTCATTTCTTGCTTCTCATTAAGAAAAAGCAAAAGGGGGAAAAAAGTCAATTAGGCAATGCAACATGATGGATCTCAGTGCATTTTCTACATGTCATCCATTTCAAGAGGTTTGCTATATGAAACTTGTAGCTGCTGGGCCATCCAAAGCATCTTTCTTCCACCCTGGTCTATATTTCCACTTGATGACTTTGTTTTGGACTGCCTGGATGAGTTCTTGGAGGATGACAAATGATACGAGTGTGCCTGTTCAGCTCTAAAGCAGCTGCCCATAGATTTGCTCCTGACTGTGTATGCAAATAAAATATAGTACAAGAGGTGACCTATTTTGTGTTAGGCATGGGAAACTTCCCAGTCTCAGTAATTAATTTATCACCCTTCAGAGGAAAACTTTTAGGTTGTTTTTGCAGCATGTGGTTTAATTTGCCTTTGTGCAGTGTCCACGCTTCTTTGAGCTTAAAATGTTTGGTTCAGAGTCTCTGCTTCTGAAAACATTAAAGGTGCATGAAATAAAAATGTGATTACAACACTCAATCTTCTTAATTAGTTTCTATTGTTTAGTCTGTTAAATGCCATTTGCCTGTCAGGGAAATGCATCCCATGTGCAGGGAGCACTGCTGGAGTGCTGCAGAAGTGATAGGTTTTGAATATCTTGAGTTTTGGGAAAGGCCTTCGTAATATCTCTAACTGGAATACTGACTAGGTAGTTAATCATAATCTAGGATCTCAGGCTGAGAAATGCTCCTAGTTCATGCTGTGTGTGCAGACATCTGTTCCTCAGCAACAAATGTCACTCTCTTTCCAGATGAGTTATTAGCAAATGTTAAAAAGACAGGTATACAGTAAAAGTTTAATGCCTATGAAATGACCTGTGAGGCTGCAAATGCCTCAGCATATGGAATATAATGCTGAGTAATAAAGAGATGAGCATTCCAGAGTATTTATGATGATTAAAAAGAAAAAAAAAAGAATAATACTGCTGCCATGTAAAAATGAATCAAAGAATTCAATTTACTGTTCCAACAATGCATGCTTTACAAATGTACATGCTATAGTTTATGGAGGCATTTAGCTGAACAAGGCAACAAATGTTTTCTGGGAAATAATATGAGGCAATGCATTTGTCTGCAGCTGAAAATGTGTAGTTGCTTTCCTAAGGATTGGAAGCAATCTTGCTAAAGCAGAATAAGAAACTTTTACAATATCAAGATGCCAGTAGAGAGTGGACAGAAAAACTTCATTCAAGTAAGGTGAAGATATGACATTTATTGACCTTATAAGATAAAATACTTCACTTTTCTGTAACTATCAGCATAAGAATAGAGTTAGAGCAAGCTCTAGCCACCACAAGTATTTTATTTCCCATACACAGCATAGTTTAAGTTACATAAAAACAAGTATCTGCAGTATTTCTCTAAAACATAGACATGAAATTCTGTAGTATTTGCAACAGGAAAGCTTCTCCTGTTCTTACCTGTGAAATCCAGAGACAGATGTTGGCAGTTCTGGTGCTCAGATGCTTGTGCCTGTGCTCCAGGATGCAGCACCTCTCTCTGTGCTGGCTGTGCATTGGGGTGGATAATGAGTGAGACCTGATTAATCATGCTACAAGTAGTTTGGAAGACAGGCATTGAAAACAAAAACTTGAAAGTTTTTTACAAATAAAGCTGTGCAGAAGCCTTACTTTATCTTCTATCCATCCTCCTAATCCTAAAGTCAGGCACCCTCCCTTTCCCTCATCTTTTCTCCATTGCTTAGCAACACTCATGGTGAACTTACTTAAAGCAGAGCTTTGTTCCCAGATGTGATTTCAGTGATATTTGCAGGCTTAACAGTTCTGAGATGTGAAAATCAGCCCCCTTCCTCTGCAACACCATTAGCCTACTTCACTAAATAGTCTTTCTTGTTCTCTCCTGCACCCCAGGCATGTTTCAGTTTTTGTCTCTACTGTTTTGATCTAACCAAGAGAGTTGTGGAGAGAAGGGGGAGGTTCAAATAAAGCTTTAATTATGGAGGACACACATACAATGTGCACAGCAAAGCTGTGTGTTGGGAATAGAATTGAAGTGTAAATGCAGAATGGTCAAGAAAAGAGCTGTTATTTCTCTCGAATCAATTTGATTTTTTTTGAAGTTGAGATTGAATAAATGGCATTTTTCATGCCAGCATTTACATGCTGAATTGGTATGACCAACCACATATTACAATGTAGCCTTGAACAATCATTTTAAGTAGGGAGAAGCTACAGTAGCTAATTGCTTCCTACACAGTTTTTCTAATTTTGGCAATACAGTGACATATCAGCACTTCCTAGAAATGCTCGGTTTGCCAGGCTAATCTGCATCTGTATTTAGTCCTGTTTCTGGAGGATGATCTGCTTTATCCATTCTGTTTCCTCTTGTTTTCCCTGTCTGCTTTTCTGTAGTTCAGTATACTTTGAGTTATGGGTGGATTCTGTGTTTTTCCTCTGCAAGCCAGAAGATGTTAATGCACATCTCTTTGATCTTAGAGACAAGCTAGATCACTCACCAAGGAGACTTGTGTTGAAATGCAAACATTTCCATTGATGTCTCTCTCAATTTATGTGCAGAACACTGTATCTAAAAGCTGGTGGTGAGCCTTCAAGGCTTCTATTGCTTCATCAGTGCCATAACCACCTTGCTGATATTCCACTGACAAGTTCCTTTGTTTTGGAATGGAAAACTTCCCAGGCATGGCAAACATTGGAGCTTTTGCCAGGAAGAATGATCTATGTCAAGTCTTTTATGTTCAGGCCTCTCTCATGGATTTTGAGGCTGACATTCCAGCTGAATTACCAACCTTGTGAAATCAATAATTTTGGAGGGGCTGTTGCCCAGAGGGGATGAAGTGCACACTCATGTGGTCCCTCAGCTCTAAGACAGCTAATGAAATAAGCCACTTTAAAAAAAGGCATGTTAACTGCAGTGGCAAATCCTCTTGCATTTTTTTAGGTAGTCACAAAGCAGATTCTGGGAAAAGGCTGCAGAATTTTTCTTTGACTTAGAGAATTGTAATTAAACTGTAATCTGCTTGATTCAATTTGTTTGGATAGAAATCAAATGAATTTCTGAATTACTGTGCATTCTCTGTGTCTCATGTCACAGAGCTTTGCTGTAGGATCCTGTCCTTTCAACTGGAGGATGAATTAATAAAGCCCTATGTTATGCCTATGTGAGGTGTTTATAAAATAAGAGGATGCCTGAAAGCATTGATGGCAAGAGTGCTGAAGAATTTTGTAATTCTTTACTCTGGCTCCCATGTGCTAGCTCGTGTGTTCCTACTGCTGCACCTTGTTTCTCCAAGGAAAGCGTGCTCTTCTCTTTAAAATCTTTCATGGTATCTCTGTGTGTTTTTATTTATTTAAGTGTTGGTTTTTATGAGAAAAAGCCAAACAAAAAAAGGAAAATAAAAAGGATTGAGAAGGTGACTTGATTCTTTTGTCTGAGAGAAGCAAGAAAGCAAGCCAGCTGTGACTCATTCTTAACATGTTAAATTGGTACAAATGCACTTTTTGATTGATACCTTAGTTGTTTAAATGTGTGCCTAGGAGTTGTTCCAGACTGTGAGGTTCTTCAGGTGTGTTCTCCCTGTTACCACAGTGGTGGTTCAGACATTTGCCAGGTGTTGTGTTTGTACAGGATGACTGCTATGGGGTACCCTGGAAGTTCCAGTCCCTTTCCCTATGTTTGCTTTCATCCCCAAATTTCACTGTTGCTGACAGAATATTACTTAGTCCAGTTCTCTGTATTGCATGCTTAAGGCAAGGTGTCCTTCAGCCCCAGATCTTCACCAACACCTCCCCATGCCCACCCACCAAAAAGAAAGGCACAAAAAATCCCCAAAGCTGGAGGGATGATTTTTAAACAGCATGAAAAAACAGCAGGCCCATTTCTTGGTGTAATGTGAGATGAATGTGATGGTCACTAGTGCAAAATGCTCAGAAAGTGCAGAAAGGTGCACAGCCCTGGCAGTTCTGTGTGCTGTGCTTGTCTTGAGCATTGGGGCATTTGATGCACTGCAGAACTGAGTTTTCCTATCCTTTTGTCTTGGAGTATGTAGTTAGAAGCCAGAGGTGGTAGCCTCTGATTGAAGCAATATCATGCATTTTTTAAATGTAATATAATTGTACCATGATTCCTGATCAATAAATGTGCAGTTGGACACACAATGTCTGAATCTTTCTCTCCTGTCATCCCTTTAAGGGAACTCTGCTCTTTCAAGAGTTAATTGAGGACTGAAGATACCACTTGCTGTGTATTTGTACTGTTGTCCAAATTTGGTCTTACAGTGATGGATAAATAAAATAGTTTTTCTGTGTTGTTCTCACACTCTTTTGGTAGAAGTAGTTTTCAAAGAGAGGTGTTAAACAGTTTTAGGATTACAGTGTCCTCTAATCTACCTAAACTGCTGTAGGAGATACAATGTTTGTATATATGAAAAATAAGCCCAAAGGAACCTGTTAATTGCCTGGGTGCTGTCACAGCTGCTGATGCTTTGAAAGTGAAAATCACTTTTACTGTTAACGGTTTTTAAATTTTTTTTCAATTGATACTGATTAAACTTTTAGACAGAATACATTCGGAGTTGCACAGCTGGGCTGATGTGAATGAAGAGTAGAATGTTTTTACAAATATCTACCCAGCAATCAATTGTTACTTGCTGGAGAGCAGATGAAGGGGTTGGGGTGCTGCTGGAACCAGCTCTCCCTTGTCACAGCCCAGTGGGACAGGGAAGTTCAGCACCTGCCTTGCACCGTTAGGGCGGGTGAGGCACAGTGCTGGTGATGAGGCTGAAGATAAAACAATTAAGTTATGCTTTTCATCTTCAAAGCACTTTAAAGACAGTATAAAATTAATCTGTACCACAGCCTGATTAAATATTCCAAGTGGTTCTCCAGCTTGGTTGCTGTCATTATCAGCACTTCCCAGGTGATGGGCTACTTTGCCTTTACTCTTTAAATTCCTGCTGCACTTTGTCAAAATCCTGCTGACTTTGCCATTCTGGCAGAAACCCTGAAAAACACCTCTTATCTGGAATAAAATTAAATGCTTGGCTTTGAGCATGTGTAAAAAAAGGTGAGGAAAACCAGGCTGGAAAAGTAAGTGGGGAAACTTGAGTACTGTTGTCTGAGTGAAACCTTGAGGGCTGCAGTAGAGTATCCCTTGAATCCCTTTTGTTCTTTGTTTGATGGGCCTGGATTAAGCTGATGGTAATTGTAAACTAAGATTATTCAGCTTTTTGGGGAAGGATCCTAAACACCTGGACTGTAAACTGGTTGTCATACCACGTGTTTCCAAATTTGTGTCTGTCCCCCATCATCTTATCCCTGCACCCTATCTTTTTTTTTTGTGTATGAAAAATTATTGTGTAAATTTGCAAATTGGTTTGAAAAGTCAAAGAAATGTGCTTGGTTTGTTTGGTTTATTTTCTTTTCCTCTGGAGAAGGCATTATGCATCTGGAACCTTTTGCTGCACATGAGGCTGTTATGTTGCTAACTTTCCAACTCTCTGACCCTCATGATTTCACTGTTTCATATCTTGCCTTATCTCTGTTGTTGGACTTTATGGGAGAAAAGTGTGTAATGTTTGTGTGCAGCTGAGGACAGAGGGTGGACTTGGACTGAGTGCAGACTTAAATGCTGTTCAGTTATAAACAATGTGTAATAATTGCAAAGCAGATTTGCTTTTTGACATCAGCCTTGGTACTGCACTCAGAGTCTCCTGGATGACATCTAAAGGGGAAATGTTGTAGCAGGATAGAATATAAAAAACAAAGATAGTGTAGAAAGTAATCTTATCCCTAAGGAGTTGCAGCTGGGCCAGTTATCAAAGATTAGGAGCAGGCCTGACTTTAACAGGCCACAGGTGTAAGCAATGAGAAGAAGAGTGCTATAAAAGAGTGGGGTGGGTGCTTGAGAGGGGAACTGGAGTCAGTGGCTGCTTTGTGAAGAAGAAAGAGGCAGTGCTTTGAGGAGCTGCCCACAAGAGACACCAAGAAGGTATGGAACTTTTGTGATAAGGAGATAACAGTATGGAACCCTTGCAATAAGATGACAACAAAATGTCACCTTGCTTTTGAGGGCAGTTATAGGTAAAGGCAGCAAGGACACTGGTCATTGCTGTGTTTAAAAACTGAAGAACCAGTTAGTGGGACACGTGGAATACTTCAGTAAGTTGATTCTGTGATTCACTGCAGTTAAAACTTTTAAACCCTTTCTCAATGGAGCTTTTGTGTGCTGTTCAAACCCCCTGTGTCATTTCCAGGGGGAACCAGCCCTGTTTGGTGCAGCCCTCCTGTGGCCCCCTGGGTGTGTGCACCTTCCTGGGAATGGGGGCCGCTGCCCCATGTCCTGGGCTGGGATCCTGCTCAGATCACACCCACAACACCCAGTTATAAAGGTGTTGCACAGTTTGGATCATTTCCCTGATAGGAAGTTAGTGTCCCAACTAATTCTGCATCTCTGGGTGTGCTTTGCTTTGGTTACGCTTAACCTTGTAGCTCTAAGGAAGTGACACTAAAACCCAACCAACAATTTGGGTTCCCATCCTACAAGTTTGTAGGAACTTGCCAAACTTTATTTGTAGACAGTTGTATTTATCCTGTTCTGCAAACTAGATTTTGTAGCTAAGAATTCCTAAAAATTAGGGCTCGAAGGGATGTTCTACTAAAATAGATGCTTTTGTTAGTCTTCAGTCGGAACAAGAGTTAAATTTAAGCAGGTAAGAGGTTTTTTTTCCTAAAATGGTTGCTTTAATAAGGACATATTGTCTCATCAATTTTTAAGCTAAACTCCCTATAGAAATCAAAGAAGTGTTCTGAAAAATCAATTGTACAGTCTGACCCATGGTTACTGCCTGTCAAATGAGACTGAACTGTTCTCTTTG